CGTTTCAAAGTGACTTTTCGCTGATCGACATGCATGGCATCAAATTATTTAAAGTGATCAGTGAGAGGCGTTTTTTTTTAAAGACAATATGAAGATAAAAGTCGTGCACAAACGTTTGGAATGAAAGAAATAAACAGATTTTCATTGCCGCCTGTGCAGTCATTTGAATATATGGCATACAATGAATCACACAATGATGAGCTTGTGATTTTCATATATAATGTTGCTGTGTTAGATCTGCATTGAAGTGATCATAGTGATGTGTGGCAAAAACCGCTCAGCTACTTATCCTCTTCTTATCTTCTTAAGCAGAGTTGTATTTGCTGAGAGCCTCAAGGCAAAACGGAAACCTACCGTATACTCTCCTACACCCCCTCACCCCCCCCCTCCTAAAAAAACAACAGTTTTGTTGTGATGTACCTATGTAGCAGATTAATTATGTTTGTTTGTTTGTCTAGTCAACTACTTTTGAGCCGTGGTGGTTTTTTTTTTTTTTGTGCGCAAGTATCTCTCTCGTGTATGAATATTTGCATAACAGATGAGACATGACAACATGCGTTTTGGGTGGAGAAAGAGGTGATGATTTATGGCTGAGTTACTGTATTTAGAAGTTGTTAAGTTGTTGGTAGGTTCATATTAATCACTCATAAAAATCAGGACTAGCTATTCGTATAGTGAAGTGACAAAGGCTGTAAAAGATATGATATTACTGAGTATTCAAACACAGTGATTTTGTTTTGGAACGCTTCTCTTCAGTATGTTGACCATGCAAATATTGTGTTTACTTTGTTACGTAATTCTAAAGAATGGACTTGCAAACGCGAATTATTTCCCAGGTTCATCGGATTATTTAAGTGACATTTCAAGAGGGTTTCAGAACATGTACTTGCCAGGACCTCACGTAGCAGCTACCTCCGTATTCTCTATTGGAACTATATTACATTCCTTAAATCTTGACAACCTATTGGGCCAATCATCCGTTAGTTCGCTTCTGCCTCTGCTCAATGGCTATGATTATCACCAGAGAGCTCAACCCTACTTGCCGAATCGTAATGATCTACAAAATGGCCGTGATATTCTCAGTCGATCGAATATTCCGAGTCGGCCCGATTTGACTTGGGAGAGGCACATTAACCAAGAAGACATTAATCATTATGTTTTTCGTAGCACGCCAGCGCCTGTCTTACCCTATCAACAAATGTCGTTTGGCGACTATCTAAGAAAGGCGACTTATGATTGGCTGAAATCGTACAAAATGGCGTATTTTAGAGATTTCTTTCAGAATGACACTAATTCCGTCACTTACTCTGCTAGCCATCTCCCAGAAAAAGCATCACAATCTGCAGATTCAGACAACACCACCACGGTGGAAGCCTCGACCAACTTAACCAGTTCGGCAACTACACCGGTAACAACCACGGAAGAAACTACCACCACTACACCCTTAACAACCACCACAGAAACAACGACGACAACAGCTGCAACAACTACACCAAAAACAACCACAGAATCAACTACATCAACCACGTCGACAACAACCATTATTTTACCGCAAGACCATTTCAATGAGATTATTCGTGTTGGCTTTCTCCCTGATCAGCCCAATCTGGGCACACGTTGGAATCAAGTTATGGATCAGCATCAAAAATTTTCTCACTGAGCTAACAAAACTAGTTACACTTGAAAATCAAATTGCAGACAAGATTCAACGATTTAAACAATGTTATACCTATATTGTTTCAGTTAGTAATTATTTTTTGTACCTTTTTCACTTTTGGTAGTTTATTTTTTTAACATCAGAAACTTACTGTTAGTTACCGAGTTCATACTAGTTCATAGAAATATCTTAACTGTACCTTATATTATCAAAGACAGACGTTACTTCAAAAAAAGAAGATCATTACATCCTACACGTATTCCTAGGTCAATCTAGTCATGCATGTTAATCAATAATATTCTGCCAAGTCACTGGTTTTCCTGGCTAGTTCAGGCAACCCATTCCATGCTATAATAGCACTAAGGAAGAAAGAGCATTTGCACAAATTTGTCCTAGCATATGAAACAAAGAATGTGCCTTTATTTTTGTGTCTCTGAGTATTTTCTTAAGCTTTGTTTTTTAAGATTATAGTTCAGTGTTTATGTATAATTGCTACTTTAATTTTGAGTCTTCTATCCAGAAGGTTTTTTAAATGTAGTGATTTTACTAAAGGTGTTACTCTAGTCAAGTGTGAATATTCATTTGTTATGAATCTCACTACTCTATTTTGTGTCTGTTCCAGTTTTTTAAAGTTTTCTTGAGTTGAGGGGTCTCAAACAGAGGATGCATATTCTGTTATTGGCCTAACCAAGGTTTAGTAACATTTTAGTTTTATGTTTTTATTTAATTTGTAGAAATTCCTTTTAATTAACCCTAATGCTTTGTTTTATTTTTTGATAGTTTCATCAATATTGGGATTCCATGACAGTTTTTCATTTATCATAACACCTAGGTATTTTGCGTTTTTAGTGTGTGTTACCGTTCGATTTGTGTCTCTCTTACCTCACTATTTACATGCCGAGTCTGATCTGGACGGGCCCTAATATTAGATCGACATGAGTTCAATTAATACAGTGTCTATCATCTTTTTTTTATTCAAACATTATGTCATTGACTGGGGCAATAAATTTTGTCTACATTTATTTAGCAGGTCACTCTGACAGTTACCGACAATCTTAAACATATTTAGAAACGATTTAGAAATAATGATGTTATGTGGAATGGAAGCAGGATATTAATTCAAACCGACCCCTATATAGTAAGGTACTGACTTGCAGACCTAACGTAACATGTAACAAGTTAACAATATGTGTGGATCTACAAATGAATAGGCCTTTAAATGTAAGTGTTGAGTTTCCAAAGTGATTATTGATTGATTAAATCGGTGCCTGGATTAGCAGGCAATGCCTTGCAACGGGCATTTCGCCTTTTTGTTTTTACTACACTTCTAATTAATTTTTTCTATAATTTCTACAAATCATTAATATTTGTCTAATTACGCATTTGATAGAAAACTATCTTATTATCTTTGTCCCTTTTAATCTTCACCTTCACATATCCCTTACTCAGTTGAAGTGTCGCAGCACCACACACGATCTTCGAACGACTTTCTCCATTCTTCTCTGTCTTTTGCATTGAATACAAATCTCTTTCTCTGTCCGCCTCTTCTTCTTTTCGCTGGCACTGTTTCCTGCATGAAAGTCTTAGTAAGCCATGTGAACCCTCTGATATGGTCATACAGTTTTAGTTTGCGTTTTGTGGCAGTGGTCTCTAGAACATAGCGGGGTCCAATTCCCGTTTTAATCGTATATCGAATCTCTATTGTGATGCGGTCTCTCTAGAACATAGCGGGGTCCAATTCCCGTTTTAATCGTATATCGAATCTCATTTGTGATGCAGTCTTCGTAGGTGATATCTCCTAGGATTTTTCTATAGCATCATAATTTCTTTGCTAGGATCTTACTCTCTAGTTCTGCAGTCAGCGTTTAAGATTCGCAAGCGTACAAGCATGTGGCCACGACCATGGAGGGCTATGCCTTTGTCTTTCCATATTGTTTTGAGATTTGTAAGTGCTGCTGTGGACTGTGAAATCTTGGTAGGTTTGGTTCCATCGTCTGATAATTTCTGACACTTGTCAGCTTTTCGTCTCCAGTCCATGTTGGCTATTGGTCAAAATGATGTGGTTTGTTTTCGGCAATGATCTTCATACCATATGCTTCGGAAGTCTTGTATATGCGCGTCAGCAAGTCAGCTAGCTCTTCCCCTGTCCCTAACAGACCATCTATTTCATCCGCAAAGCGCAAGTTAGTAATTCTTCTTCCGCCAATGCTAACAATAGGCCAACCTTCGTAACCTTCAAGAGTACATCCAATACACTTCTAAGAAGATATTGAAAAATGTTTGTGAAAGTAAGCAGCCCTGTCTCACTCCAACTGTGTTTTCAAACCAGTTGCCAATGTTATTGTGGTCTGGTGATAAAGGTTCTCAATTATTTTAGTTATGTTTTTGTTTACATTTTACTGTTTTAGTATAGCCCAGAGTGCCCCTAGCCAGACCCTGTCGAAAGCCTTCTTGAATTCAACAAAGGCATGAAAAAGATTCTTTTGGTTTTGATGGTATTTCTCGCAGAGTATCCTGAGGTTTAAAAATCATTCCGTTGTGTTGCGACCTGCCCAAATCTTGTTGTTCCTCGGATATAATTTTACGTGCTATCAGTTCTAAATGGTTTAGTGTTGGTGTTGTTGTTTTTCTTATACGAACATAAATATGTGATTTCCTATTTCATGTTTTGGAATCTTTCATAAAATTAAGACTTCATTCATAATGCAAATACAATGCTATAAATAAAACAGAAGATTGTTGTTATATAACATGTTTCCATTTAGCTGTAAAATGATAGTATTTCATAGTATTACATTTTACATTGTGGGGTCTAATTATTGCACACAGAGAGGGGAGAGATAGGCAGAGATTTTCATACATGGCGGAAAAACTATAAATAGCCATTTTTTTGGTGTATCTGGTGCACAAAATAAAGGAAGTGTAAAACGCCATTGTTAACACAGTTGAGATTGTTGTTTGTTTTTAAATAGGACTCGAACTATATAGTATTTCAGCTCGATCACTCAAAGAACTAAGTTCTTAACTAGTAGCTATATTCAAAAGTTTTTATGAGGCATTAAATGTGAGTGAATCATACCGGGAGACCCTACTTTAAAAAATATGCCACCTTTAAAATAACGGTGGGGAAAAAGAAAGATAAAGATAGATGTTGTGCAGAGATAATTTAGATATAATTAACAAAAATAGTTACCGGTATTAGCAGAGCTAAAACTAGATATAGGAGGAAATGAGAGACAACATGTATGTGTATGTGAGAGAGAGAAAAAGAGATGGAGAGACAGAAAGAGATAGAGAGAGAGAGAAAGAGATAGACAAAGAAAGAGATTGAGAATGAAAGAGAGAGACAGAACGAGAGAGTGAAAGAAAGAGGAAGAGAGAGAAAGAACGAGAGAGTGAAAGAAAGAGAGATAGAGAGAAAGAGAGAGAGGTATATTTAATAATGAACGTTTCAGAAACTCCTTCAGAAAAAGAATTACACCAAGACCAGGGATTCCCAAACAGTTTCCTTAACGGAACACTTCGCACATTCTGAGTATATAGCGGAACACTTTGCTTATTTTCTAGGGAGATCACGTGGTGGCCTTCTAGTTATTTATTCCAACAGTTCGGGGAACACCTATTTAGGCCTCGGGAACACCTGGGTTCCGCGGAACACAGTTTGGGAAACACTGCTCTCGACCAAATCTCCTGTACATGAGATAGTACAAACTTGGAACCATCGTGTAGACAGCCCAAAGAGCGTACTACATCACACGAACAAGAAGCCATCTTATACAGTAAAGATGGAGAATCCGGAGAATTAAAGGGACAGGTGGAAAGGCAGAGAAATAGAAAAAAAATCTTTGCAGATGTGTAAACCTACTGTGAATTCTGCCTGCCTTATTCACGCTCCACCCAAAGCATATTAATCAACTTCTTCATTTATTCTCAGTTTTATTCTTTTTTTTTTTTAATTTAGCAAGCCTGCTACTGCAGGCATACATAATTTATTTTGTAAGTTTTTAAATTTAAAAAAGATGTTAGTGGATGCCCTCCTTTGTTTGTTCAGAAATTGTTCTATTGTAATTCCAACCAGTGATGTATATTCTATTTTATAACTTAATTTTTGTTAAAGTCAAATTTCTTTAAGGATATGTTGATGAAGGATTTGAGAGACCTCCTATACCTCTTCATTTTTTTTCTAATACGCAAGTTTCATGTAGGCATAAACGATATCTTTTTTTAAAAAATTGCCTAATAGGATTCCCCTCTCTCCAATATTGTCATTTTTTGTCTGAGTTGTCATATATCTCTGATGTTGCATTTGAAAAACTATGTTTGAACTAAAGCTGTTAAAATAAACTTGTGTTTTGTTATTTTATTACAGAGCTTATATCATCTCACTCCGTCTGTCTGTCTGTCTGGTACAAATTTTGAACACGTTATTACTTATATTTCCCTAACAAAACATGAATCAATTTTAAATAAATAATGATAATTAATTAGTGGTAATTAATTAATTTTGATGGATATAGAAAAATGGGATAAAATGACTGAAAATTTGCAGTTCTTTCCCTTGTTCTTTTAAACGTTAAACAGTAGCTGAGGTGGTCAATTGTAGTCAAACTGAATTTCCATTTGATTGGGCCATTAAAAATTATATTATTTTATCGACCTGTAAAAGGGGTTTAGCCGCTATTAGTTTCATGTGGTCAGTCTATCCACCCCGTTTAGATCTCATAAACTTGACAAGATAGTGAAAATCTGATATCATAATATTTTAGATCTTTCAAAGTTCTGATGCAACGACTACTTTTTTTTTTTTTGTTTTCTGAGAGCGAAAAGTTTAATTTTAAATTAACTATGCAAGCAGTTTTTGTTTTGTTTTTTTTAATTTCAGAAAAATATGACTACACCATTTTTACAACTATTTACTATAAATATTTTACAAAAATAGGGGAGGCTATATTTTAACTCCTGTACTCGTAATTGACGATGCCAACTTTGATTTGACTTCATTAAAAAAAAAATTGCTTGATTTTTAAACTTTATTTTGTGTTCTTTGAAATGAGCATGCCCTTAAATCTATACCAAATAAAACTTTTCCTGATAACAAACGAAAAAACGTATTCAAGCTTCATGATAGCAGTGTAGAAAAATACTAATGAGCAAAATTAAGAATTCCGTTGGAACGTCAATAGTAATTACAGAGAGAAAGAGTTAAACGCTAAAAGCCGGAAGCCTAGACTGTATTTGAAAATGTAATATTAGTGAACTTCATGTTACAAATTGCAGAAAATGGGCGAAGAGATTATATTGTGATAGGGATGACGAAGACGACTCAACAACATAACCTTAGATGGTGCCGTTCTCACTAACAGTCCTTTCGCTGTTATATTATAGAAAAGTTTTGGCGGATCCCCAGGGAGTACTTGACCCTCTGCTAAGTTTTCTTCGTAGCTGCAATCACATTTTCTTCTTCTTGAAACTGTCAGGTAGAGTTGAGCCTTCGGCTCTTGGAACTCTAGGCCAGCAAAAGTGAACAAGAGCTCTCTTTCACCGGCCTGAATGAGAACAGTGTACACATATGGAGGTGATCTATTCGCTTAAAGTTGTGCGTGGAACTCTTCACACAGAGAGACTGCAAAGTGTAGTTTCGTTGGTTTCATCCTTCAGATTCCTAAAAATCTCTCGACTTGGAATGCAGTCGTCTTGATATAACTAATTCTTTTTCATCGATAATCATTCAACGGATATTATACAATGCACTGAAAGCTATTTAGACATCTATATATATAATCTATATATATAATTCTCTTCTTCGCTCAAGAGTTTACGTGTAGCGAAGTCATACAGTATATCATAAAAACTCTATTTATTTCCTACATAGATCACTTTCAATAGCAAGAATTAACAAACGTTTCAATCTATCTACGAGAATTGTTGAACTAAAGTAATTTTTCATTAGTTTGAGGCGCGAGAAGCTTCTTTCACCAGATTCCAAAATTACGGGATAATGCCGTTTTTTTTTTTATCGCGCATAGGATTGGCATTTTCTTTATTGAATGACACCTCAAAATGACAATTTTTATCTATATATTTCAGGAGTTTCGAATGAGTTTTCTAAAGATTTTAATAATTTTCGGATATTTCCAGGACTTTTTCGTATATTTTGCAATTTCAGGAAATTTTCAGGAGCTCCTGGTAAATTGACAGGAGGCCGCGGGAAATCTGTTATAAGTTATACAATGGTTTAATTTAATAATTTATACACCTAGAAATAGCGCGGGTACTATGAAAGTGCGGGGCCCAATGTGGTCGCCTAAGGTCGGCCCTGCAAAATAGCGGCGTATGCTACGCCGCCGGTCGACTAGTTATCTTATAAAATACACAAGTTACTTCAAAGAAGAAGAAGATTACGTTCTTCTTTCTAAAAAGTATGAATGGATTTATTTTTATAGTTAATTTTCTTAAATACGCATTCTAATTCCCATTTGACCAACTAATAGATTGTCCATTAATAGAGTCGATTTCCCAATGTATTTATTTGTTGCTGTTAGACGCTTATCTTTCACGCTCCTAATGAACTCTTTATGTATCTAACAGTTAGACAACCGAATAAGACTATTTGAGAAGCATAGAGAACCACTATGTACATTTATACTGAGACACAGAAAACAAATTAAATATTTTTGTTATTCGGCAAATAATCGCTCCCTGTAGAAACTGAAACATGAATATTATACAATACATCCCTTGCTATGGGAAAAGTAAAACCCAAATCTACATGTCACAACCCAACACTAGCAAAACTCAGGTCTCGATAATAAACCTCCACCACACCTCACCAATATTCCCATCCACGAAGTAGTTTCTTGTTACATTCGTTTGACAAAATAAAAAAAAACAACTGTGTACATGCAGGTTACACTATATTTAACGCATATTTAAATTTAGAAAAAAAGGCAACCTCAATGTGAATGCAAGAGGTGACAGTGGTTCATTCCTTGACAGGAAACGCCCTGTAGCAAACAAAAACATAACTAAAACCATTGTTGTGTATAATTAATCCAAGATGATAATTAAGTTAACTTGGTATGAAACGTTTGGTCTCCTTCTAAAAATACAGACTATTAAACGATGACCTTCACATTATATACATAGTGAATGTTTCTATAAAGTTTAAAGCTGACTGGCTAAATCATTTGTGTAAATTAAGTTAATTTAGTAACCACATTGTCTTTTTTTTTTTCTTTTAAATTTGCTATGATTTGCACTGGAGCGTTTCCCACGCTATTATTATCATCCTTATAGGCTTACATGATAATCAAGTAGAAATTCATAGGTGTACACCATTTTTGAAGATGCCAGAGAACCCCCGGGAGGAAGGGAGGAGGAAATGACTGCACGTTGACAATTTTAGAGACAAAAGTCAACAAGAAAAAAGACTATCAATATGGCCAGGATGATAAGTCTAAAAAGAAAAAAAAAAAAAAGATTATGTTAGCGAAGTCAAAGACTAGCATAGATGTGATTTGTCTTTCTAGTGGACGGCAATGAAAACAGAACAGAAACATACTGAAAATGTCGCTCTTGGTTGATAAAATTATGTACATTTTGATGTATTCTATGAGTTAACTATTGTGTTATGTTGATCATATTTTTTTGCATGGTATTATCTTAGTATGTTTACTTTGGCACCAGTAAGGATTAGTGCTGTTAGAGCATGGAATGGGTTGTCTGAGCCAGCCAGGAATAACATTGATTTGGCAGAATTTAAGTCTTTGGTTAACATGCATGATAAGACGCATATGACGTGAGGGACGTAACCATCTTCTTTTTTTTTTTTGAAGCAACGTCTATATTTTATAAGACAAGATGTAGCCTACTAATGAAGTGAATTGGTATAAAATATAAAAAAAGATATTTTAACTCTAAAAGGTATTATGACTTTAATTTTAATAATGGTAACGACAGGAGATGTAAGTATAAATCCTTCATTGTATACATTTTAGTTTCTTTTTTTTTTTTTCATCAGTGAGGATAGGTCTATATGTAAAGGCTGTTGAAATGTAGACTTATTGGTGGCCATGTATATAAAGTCGGTATATATAGTATATGTTGTAGCTGATGGGAATGTTGTTATTTTCTTTGTCTCATGACGGTCTAGAGAGTGAGTGGCGATGTCAGTACGTACAAGGCAGATACCAGATGGCAAGATGGACTGTGGTGAAAACTAAAGACAGTGATAGGCCTACCTATAAACTTACTATAAACTGTTTCATGAACTGAACGATTTAATAAACGATATGATGCAGAAAGGTATCAAATGAATTGAACTTTGTTTAAACATTCAAGTCCACTCTTGACTATTCTGAAGATACACCCTAAAACCGCCTTGATGTGTGTTATGCTCCTGGGTTCCCATATGATGTTGTTATGGGTTAAAAAGCCCCTTAATGTAATTGCAATGGGCGGTGACTTAGACTGAAAAAAATGGGATTTTTTGTCTTCAGATGGAGGGGATGAGGGGGAGAGTCGTTAGGATAAAGATCTATATTTAGGCCTATAGTATTTTTGAGTATTTATCTCGAGACCAAAAGAGTAGGTTGAATTAGAAAATACGACATGTTTAGAGACGCTTGGGGGGGGGGGGGGGGAGTTGTTATGATAAAGATCTATATTTAGGCCTATAGTATTTTTGAGTATTTATCTCGAGACCAAAAGAGTAGGTTGAATTAGAAAATACGACATGTTTAGAGACGCTTGGGGGGGGGGGGAGTTGTTATGATAAAGATCTATATTTAGGCCTATAGTATTTTTGAGTATTTATCTCGAGACCAAAAGAGTAGGTTGAATTAGAAAATACGACATGTTTAGAGACGCTTGGGGGGGGGGGGGGGAGTTGTTATGATAAAGATCTATATTTAGGCCTATAGTATTTTTGAGTATTTATCTCGAGACCAAAAGAGTAGGTTGAATTAGAAAATACGACATGTTTAGAGAAGCTTGGGGGGGGGGGGGAGTTGTTATGATAAAGATCTATATTTAGGCCTATAGTATTTTTGAGTATTTATCTCGAGACCAAAAGAGTAGGTTGAATAAGACAGAAAATACGACATGTTTAGAGACGCTAGAAGGAGTGACAATAGAGACGCTTATAAAGAGAAGACTCGACGACCACTCTTTCCCTGTAAATAAACGCTTTTAAGATTTGCTAAGCTTTATTCAGTTATTTGAAGAGCGTCTAAAAGGCCGAGCAGCTGTACAGAATTCGCATGAGATATAATAGCTTTTGATTGGAGCATAACAGTATCTGACTTTTGGTTGGGGGAAAGTAAAGGCGGTTGGTCGTTGTGCTG